TTAACACATTAAATATAAAAATGTTTGTCACAGAAAATCATTTTATGAAGCAATAAAAATTTGTAGATTCAGTGAATATATTAAGACTACGTATATTTTAAAGAAATAAAGCATGTATGCCATTAACTTCTAAATATCCTTCAACTGCTCATAAAATCCAAATAAAAGGATATGTTCTGCTCAATTTTCCTTGTCAGAGCTGTACAGAAAACCTTATGATGTTTTAAAAAATTTAACAGGTGAGCAAACAGATGCAACTTGTTTATTTTACTTTATTCCTACTCTTAAAAATTTCACCACTGCCAGAAACTCTATTGGCATATTTACAATATTTAAATAAAAATTCAAAAAACTGCATAAATCTTAGCAGTAAATAGTTTCCTTTTTATCATCTAGGCAAAAAATAAAAATAATAATGAAACTTTGGAAATGCAGATGCTTTAAGTAACTTACTGCTCAGTACTAATGTAGTAGCAGGCTGACGTTTAGAAGAAAACTCATGGTGGTGATGCTGTTTCATTTCGGGGTTCCATTACATGGTAGCCTTCATTTCAACAACTGAAATGTCAGTGCTACAGGGAATGTAAAAATAAAACTTGCATGTTTGTATACTGTGTTTATATGTAAAACATGATGTATTGGTCTCTCTTGCCTGCTCAAATAATGTAAATAATGTTAATTTTAAAACTCATTTATTGAATTCACATTAGTGAAAAGATGTATTAATTATCCTTAAGTTACTTTGAAAGGGAAACCTTTCCCTTTGCTTATGGATCTATTTAGCTGCCTGACACCTCTCCCAAATACAGCACCTATAAAGGTAAAACAGATGTCCAATAAAGTTTGTGACTATTTTTCAGCTGTCCCTTTACTGATTTCTGAACTATTCTTATTCCAATCTCACCCCATCCTGCAGCAGGTAATAAGCATGGTAGATAAACAGCAACGGCTTTGGTGCCAGGCTGCTTGGTTTCAGAAACTGATCTTACAACCTAGTAGCTGTGTGACTCTGTGTGACTGTGACTGGCTCTGTGTCTCATTTCATCGTCTGTAAAATAGATTAAAAATAATATTCACTCACAAGTGAATATTATTCTTTAAGTATTCCTATATCCCTTTAATTTTCCTTTACAGCACTTATCAGAATTTATAGCTATGTAGTTATATGAACATTTAACAAATATGTATCCCCTACTAAAATATAAGTTCCTTGAATGCAGCATCAAAATCCATTTTGTTCATCACTACATCCTAAACATTATAATGTTTGGTCTAGAGTAGATGCATAAGAAGTATTTGTTAAATAAATGAATAAATTAATTTTAGAGGTAAGTCTGAGAATCAACAAAAGTGAACACAATTTGCCCAAGATTATACTACCATAAATGACAGAACTATAAGTAGAGTTTAGTTCTTCTGACTTAAAGTTCTCCATTATTTCCAGGCATTAAATCTTTGATAACACAAATCATACAAAGAATCACGCAATTAATATTACGTAGGTTCTAGAATGAAAAGTAAAAGTACAAATCAGAGAGAAAAGGAGCATCTAACGTAGTCTGGGGGAAACTGGGCCTCCTCGAGGAACTGATATTTAAGACATGAAGGAGTTAGAATGGGCAAGGAGAGTCAGGCAGAGGGCTCCAGGTAAACGCACAGTTTACACAGTGGTCCAATGATGAGAAAAGCTTGGTGAATAAGAATAGAGAAAAGACTACTGTGATTGCAGCAGAAGGACCTGGAAGAGGGAGGGTGAGGTTGATCAGAGAGACAGGGCCAGATCTTATACCAAGGGAAGACTTTTCTTCCTTAAGTAGAAGAAGAAAAAGCCACTAAAGGGTTTTAAGTGTGGATAACACAATCAGGTTTGCATTTTCATAAGATGATACTGACTGCACTATGGGGAGTTTGGGAAAGGGCAGACTTAGTAACTGGTTGGATATGCAGGTCAAGACAGAAAGATACATAAAGATGATGCTCACGTATCCAACATGATCTACAGGGAGGGTACCATTTACTGAGAAAGGACCATTAGTAGATAGATCAAGAGCTTAATTTCATTAAGGGTATAATAAATTCTCAATAAATAGTGACAATTATTATTGTTTTTGTGGTGGTTGTTACTGATGATCGAAAACCGCTTGCTGCAATTGAGGGTAATGGTGATTTTTATGGATTTCAATGGATTTTGGCCTGCGGTGTTGCTCCCATTATATACACAGGCACTTCTGGACTTGAGGTTTGGAAAGGGAGGTCATTTACGGAGCTAAGAATGCAGCTGAGGCTTGACACATGAAAGTCTTTTTTACCTCCAATCTCATTTCTAGGGTAGGCTTAGGATAACACGTGAGAGATGCATGAGAAAACAGCCTTCCTTTCCCTTGAATTTCCTTCTCCTTTTCCCAAGAATCAAGAAATTTTAGACATGATAATATGACCATGGCCAACAGGTCTATAACGGCCAATTGGTCTACGAGGCATCAATGTTTTAAGGGGAGATCAAGCCTGTAAAATTAGCTTTACTTGGCCTTGGCTGAATAATGGATGAGCATAGACAGCTCAAAGGATTTTCCTATAAATTGGGTAAGGAGATAGTAAGCAAAGAAATCAAGAGGTATGCTTAGATCTTTGATCTTAGAGAAGGTATTTATACCTTACTTTCTGATCTAGACTTTATTTATATTATATCTTTGAATCATGTGGCAATCTGTCTTATTCATTTACATTGTTTACTATAGTAAAAAAGAATGTCAATTAAATCATTACAATGATTAGTTGGCAGTATAGACTATATAAGGCCATTTTAATACTGGTGAGCCAGTACGGCTTGTATTAGCATATGAGGAGGTTGCTAAGTCTTCACACTGTATCACTGGCTCATGGCCACAGGCTTTGTTCCCTAGAGATGCAGGGGAAACAGAGATCACGCATCAGGATTAGCCACATGGTGTTAATGAGAATCGCTGTTTATCATTATCCTGGTTATCCTGTTAAAGAAGTCCTGGAGCATATGAGGTAGTTGCCAAATGTGTTAAATATACCAAAAGGCATGTCTATTTCAGAAGTTTTGAGCCCTGAGTTAAAAAATTTTATCGTATTTAATCTACTTGCCAACTGGGCATTTTGCAACCAGGCATCTATAAGAGAACTAAGGAAAGAGGCACTGAGGGGAACTCAAATCTAAGAAAAGTCCAGATTGTTTTGGTCAATGATGAGGTCCTGCCTGTAATTTAAAAGCTAAAATGAATCTTGCTTAATCTCACATACACATAATTGGCATCATTTAGGCACAATCACCATTAAGAAACATACAAACACATATAGATCAGCATACAGCAAGGGATTTTAAAGAGGGAAAGAAGAATATTTTAACCAACTTTCTGAATAAAAGTCACATGTATTTTATTTATATTAGAATACTTATAAAGGTCCTTGAGGTATTTTAATATATTTTTAAATTTATACCTTTATCATCATATTTATTAAACTAGGAAAATCATCTAATATTTATTTTTACTTTTTTAATTTAAATAAGCACACACACATAGCTTAAAAGTGAACATGTCTTCTTGACTGCTTTGGGCAGTAATATGTAACATTGCCTAACCTGGCATAATCCAGCAAAATCTGGATTCAATCAAAACCCAGTTCAATACAACAAAGTGAGCCAGGGCTGAATCGTTTGTGCATGTGCATCTATCCCTCATTATATTAACCAGCCCTTGTGTATATTAACTTTAGCATTTTAGCTTTACGACATGTTGAAAATACATTTTGACACTATCCAGAAATTAAGAAGAAGAGAATTTTTTTCCTACACCTTTAGTGATTAGGAGCATGGGTATGAATATCAGACTGAATATTCAAAACAGGTCTCCACTGTCTGCTAGCTATGTAACCCTTTAATCTCTCTGTGTCTTAGCTTTCTTCCTAAACCTCAGATTCTCATCTGTAAACAGGATAACGTAGCACCTATCTCAAAGAGTTGTTGTATGTGTTAAATGCTTTATTATACATAAGGGACGTAGGACTGTGTTTGGCACATAGTAAGTGCCCCCAAAATGGTAGCTATTAGTTTCATCATCATTGTTATTATCCTTCATTGTGTTCTTGGGCACTTGGAAAAAGAGTCTACAAAATACATATTTAACTTTTTCCTCTGAGTTCCTAGCCCTTAGCCTTATCAGAAGCATCAATCTTTCTTATTTTCCAGTCAATAAGGATTTTTTTTAAATTGAAGTATAGCGAATTTACAATATTGTGTTAGTTTCAGGTATACAACAAAGTGATTCGGTTATACATATATTTATATATGTATATATCTATAAACTTTTTTTCATTTCTTTTCCATACAGTTTATTACAAGATATTGGATCAAGTTCTCTGTGCTATATACAGTAAAACCTTGTTGCTTATCTATTTTATATGTGGTAGTGTGCATCTGTTAATCCCATACCCCCCAATTTATCCCACCCCTGCTTTCCCTTTGGTAGCCATAAATTTGTTTTCTATGTCTATGAGTCTGTTTCTGTTTTGTAAATAAATTCATATGTACTATTTTTTTTAGATTCCACATATAAGTGATATCATATAATATCTGTCTTTCTCTGACTTAACTTCACTTGGTATGATAATTTCTAGGTGCATCCCTGTTGCTGCAAATGGCATTATTTCATTCTCTTTTATGGCTGAGTAATATTAAGGATTTTTTAAAGTTCAGTGATTCTCAAGATTTTCTTTTGCATAGACACCTTTATAGCATATTTAAATATTCCATGTACTTTCACATGATATAATCGACAGTTTTAGAACCTTTGACTAAGAAAATATGTATGAACAGAGGGATTTAAGGACCCCCTGAAATAACCACACAGGCCCTCTGGGGTCCAAGACTCATTGGTTAGGAACCGTTGCTTCGATGATTAATACATTTAGATTAAAATAAAATTCAGATCTTTTTAGAAAGCCCTGTGGGTCTTCGCTCTTTTAGCCTCTCTTACCTCACCCATGACCGCTATGGGTGTCTCTCCTGTTGCCTGAGCAACACGATGCTCTACTAAGTAGAACATATACTCGTCGTAGAGCAGACGGATCAGGTGGAAGGAGCCAAAGCTAGCAGCACTGCGTAGGGTTAAGTCCCGAATAACCATTGAGCTGTTCCAAGAGAAAAGACACATATGCAGCCATTGTTAGTGAGCAGGATTAGAGTTCAATCTAATTTTCCTCTTAAAAGAAGTTAGAGGTCTAAAAGACTGGTATAGCACACAACCTGCCATGGAATAATTTCACTACTGAAAGCAGTTGGCTCAACTCTTTCAAACAGAGTGGTAAATAGGTCACCTTCACTGAAACTTGACTAGATCCTTATTAGAGCTAGACAAGTATTAACTGGGAAAAACCATTTTACTGTCATAGGCAAGTCTTTTGATTCTATTAAATTCACAAAGGGGTCAGAATTGAATAAAAAATATTTTTGGAAGGCTGGCAAATCATCACCATAAGAAAAAGCAACTCAAAGTGAAGGTCTTATTGATGACACGTAAACACTGTGTCAGTATCTCTCAATGATAACGACCTCTGGGGTACGCTGTGAGAAAAAGATGTATTTGACCAAGTTTACAAAATATACTAAGCAGGGACTTCCCTGGTGGGGCAGTGGTAAGGAATCCGCCTGCCAATGCAGGGGACATGGGTTCTGTCCCTGGTCCAGGAAGATCCCACATGCCTCGGAGCAACTAAGCCCGTGAGCCACAACTACTGAGCCTGCGCTCTAGAGCCTGTGAGCCACAACTACTGAAGACCGTGCACCTAGAGCCCGTGCTCCGCAATGAGAAGCCACCGCAGTGAGGAGTCCGCACACTGCAACGAAGAGTAGCCCCCGCTCACCACAACTAGAGAAAGCCCAAGCACAGCAACGAAGACCCAACACAGCCAAAAATAAATAAATAAATTTATCTTTAAAAAAGTGTGTATATATGTATGTATATATATATATATATACATATATATATACACACACACACACACACACACACACACACACACACACACACACTAAGCAATGCTCCCAAATGTGGCAATGTAGAATGTAGGCGGTTATGTACAGGGATCCCTGCAAGTTCTGTTGGAAGGTAAGTTTATTAAGTGATTCTAGTTCCTTACTGATTGCCATTAAATTAAATTAAGGTGATTTTTCCATTAGAAATAGCATAATAAAATCAATTAAGAAATGCATAACTTTGAAAAATATGAATGTTTAATTTATAAAATACCAAAATCTGAATCATATTATTAATGAAATACTAACAATACACTCTATTATACTCAAAATGTAAGTGAATCAAAATAAAATTTTGGCCTCATTGAAGACATGTCAATTATTAAGCTTGTCCATGCACTTCAAATCTCTTTAGTATTTCTATCTTAGAATCAGGGTAGGATGTGTGTGTGTGTGTGTGTGTGTGTGTGTGTGTGTGTGTGTGTGTGTATGTGTGTGTTTCTCCTCACTTTCATTTAGTGTCCTTTTCTAGAGATTTCTGTCCTATGCAAACTAAAACAGGCATTATATTCTCTGATAGGAGGAGGAGATAGAATCTCACAAATGTATGGGCTGATATTCCTAGGCCTTATTTTGCAATGAAGAATTGTAAAATGCCAGACAGATGGAAAAACAGAAGACTACATTTCTGTTTCATTTTCAACCTTATTTATATAGAGGCTAGTAATATATCAAATTCTACACATTCAACTTGGCAAGTGACAGATCATCCTTGTACATCTAAAACTCTAAAGCCCTGGATCCTGATCCTGGCTCTTCATTAATTCACTATCAATCTCAAAAAAAAAATCATTTCCATGAGAGTGTTTTTCCTTTTGGGTGAAAGTGAAAGCAGTACTTTTGGTCTTACCTAATTTGCGTGATGATTTCAAGGACAAAATGTGTTAAAGGTTGTGAAACAGACTTATGAATGAATAGAACAAGACTCAAATATAAGTGTTTATGATCCTAATACACAAAACAGGAGGAGCTGAGCTTCTGACTCTCATTTGGCTACGGCAGCAAGAACAGGTGTTACTATAGGATGACGGCAGATGTCTCTCATTCTGTGGATCTATTTACTAAACAGAAAAAAAGCATGGGTTTGGAGTTAGATCCATGTTAACCACCATGTGATCTTGATTGTGAGTATGTCATTCAACATTTAAAGGTTCAAGATTAGCCTGAGAGTCAAATGAGATAATGTACGTGAAATCTTAAGCAAAACTACCTATTACTATACTATTCCATATGTTGGAGTTAATAATATACTCATTATCATAAAAAGCAGTACTGGTGAATGATTCCTTAGAGTCAAATACTTTAATGAATACCTTAAGTTTGGAACTCTATAAGAGAATCACTAAAAATAAATTAACGCTTTCACTTATATGTCAAAGATATAATGACAAAATTCTGTTATAATTCGATGCATGCTTTTCCCAAAACTCAGTAACACATCACCTATTCATAAAAATAATTATTATAAATTTAATAGCTATTGAAATTAAACTTTATTTTCCTATGGAACAAATTTTAACAGGCAGAGAATCCTCTACTTTAAAAAGCAAAAGCAAAAACAACATAAAAATAACAATAAAAAGTTGCCTAACATTTTTACATATATCCAAATTTGATCATGTGAAGTAAATAATTTTGAAAAATTAAATAATATGGGGTGGAATATTCACTCCTAAGTACACATCTCTTGCTGAAGAAAGACAGCAGCTATTTAAAATACAGCCTGGAGAAGACTAATGGCTAACAAGTATACAAAAATATGACTAATCTTATTCAAAATTAAAAGAAATGTAAATTAAAGGTAAGATACCATATATCATCTATTATACTATAAGACATTAAAAGATCAGTGTTGGAGAGGGTATGGGGAAAGAACTCTCATTTGCTGTTTCTACAAGCATGAATTCACAAAACATTTACGAAGTGAAATTTGGCAACACATGTCGAAACTAAAAATGCACAAATGCTTTCACCTAGTAGTGTTTTCTAGTTGTTGTTTTTACAAAATACAAGCAGGCTATCTCTCTCTCTGACAATGTTTTGTTTTTTTTTTTAACATCTTGATTGGAGTTTAATTGCTTTACAATGGTGTATTCGTTTCTGGTTTATAACAAAGTGAATCAGCTATATGTATACATATATCCCCATATCCCCTCCCTCTTGCGTCTCCCTCCCACCCTCCCTATCCCACCCCTCTAGGTGGTCACAAAGCACAGAGCTGATCTCCCTGTT